AGGGAACTCCAATTCATACTACAAATGCAGATGGAATGCTGAACTCTGATATGGAGATGACAAGGACACGAGTTTGGCCTTGAGGGACTCTCAAGCCAGTGGGAAGTGGCATCTACTCCAGAGCATGGAAAAGAAGAAAATGAAGAGGGAGATGGGGGAATTGAGGGTCAGGGAACCTTCTGTTTTTCACTTTATACACTTTATATTTTTTAATTTGTTGCAATGAACATATATAAGTGGGCAACTTTAAAAGCCAAGTAAAAATATTGTATAAAAATGCACAAATGAATAAGTGAATGAAATGTCATGTGAAAGTCTGGCCCTGGAGAATGAAAAGGAACTGAATTTCAGACAGTAGCTTTCAGACACAAGTTCATTTAATCCTTTCAATACAGCCAGACAAGTCTAGCTTTCTCTTTTTAAAAGAACTTATTTATTTTAGAGAGGGAAAGGTAGGGAGAGAGGGGGAGAAACATTGGTCAGTAACCTCTTGCACATGCCCCAACAGGGGACAAGGCCCACACCCAGGCATGTGTCCTGACCAAGAACCAAACCGGTGACCCTTCACTCTGCAGGGCAACACCTAACCAACTGAGCCATGCCAGCCAGGGCTACAGGGATCTCTCAATCCTCATCCTAAAAATGAAGGAAAGCAAAGCCCTCAGGAGTGAAGCACATTACCCCAGTTTACAAGCTAGTAAGGGACAGAGTCCATGACATTTCTGCTACAGCATTTCTCCATTGGCCAACTAAGAAAAAGGGTCAGGAACTAGAGACTGACTCCAAGAACTTTGTTCTTAAGCCTTTATAAACACTAAGTGTTTGTTACCTTGAAAAAAAAAAAGGTTTCTGTGTTTTGGGAGCCAGAAGAAAAAGCTTTCTGGGGTAGCCAGTCTTGGGAATGGAGGATGCTGCAGTACACCAAGGGAGGAGGAAGGAAGTAGCAAGGAGAGACAGCAAGCAGAGTCCTGGTCCCAGGTATGGGGAGCGTGAAGAGGCTTGTCAGATCCCATGCTGCCTGGGATTCCTCACAGGGACTTTGGTACCAGCAGGAGCTTCCCAGCAGGCCTTGCCTTCCACAGGCATCAGGCTTCCCTCCTTCGCATTCACCAGCCTTTGCAGCCTGAGCCTCTTGTTGCTGTGAAAGCCCTCCTGCTTCATTCTACCAGTTCTACCCACCCCCAGTTTCCCTTCTTCCTCCATCATCCTCTACTGACTTTCTGCCTCTGCAGGAAAAGGAAGAGAATACAACACAGGGTCTAGAGTTTGATGGAGAGAGATATATTGGAACTAAAGGAATTTGAGTGTCCTCTTAAAAATCTCAGCCACATCATTTCCATCATTGTCATGGTTATCGATCATGTTTATTGGGCTCTTACCAGGGCCAGGCATCCTCTCATCAGCACTCAGGAATGTCCCAGAGTCCCAGGTCACACAGGCAATCCATGGCCAAACCAAACCCCCAGTGTGCTTCCAGAGCTGTGCCTAAACCCCTATGGTGAGGCATCCTGCTTCCTGTGGTCCTGTGGTCCTGTCCCAAAGACGAACAACTTGTCCTATGGCCACAGAAGTCTTGAAGCCTGACCAGTTAATACAAATGCTTCCTCCTCTTGCTATTCTGGCATCCTTTTATGGGCCTGGACTTGCTGACAGAATGTTTTAACCCCTTCCTCTGACTCAGTGAAGTGTCTGTTTCAGGTAGAAATTGTGGCACCAGGTCCTCATGCTTCCTCCTGATGGGATGACCAGAGTTTGGCATCATCCAAGCTCACCCCATGTTTGCTCTGTGGAGGGATGGTTGTTCCTCCTAAGACAATTTAATGGCTTGTGTGTGTCCTGCAAATGCTCAGGTTCATTGTAGATTATGAACAGCTGGTGAACAGGCCACTGCATGTAGTGACAGTGACCTGTGTCTCACCCTGAGAGGTGTCTCATTGCTCCCATCCAGGCTCTGGGGTCCTAAGGACCATAGTGTCCCCTGAGGGACTCTGTCTAGGCTCTGACCTCTGATACCAGACAGGCATCTTTTCTGTCAGCAATTTCCCATTGTGGAGATCCAGCAGTTGAGAAGGGAAAATTCAGGCTGGAAGGACCCCATCCCTGGGAGTGCGACAGGAGATCCCCGGTACTAGGTCAGCATCCATTCACCATTAGAATCTCAGTGTCAGCACCACACCAGGTATAGGAGAAGGGGTGATGAAACTTCAAGACTGTCTGCACAGGACCAGGAGGAGTGGGCTCAACCACGGAGATGTAGACATGCTGCCACAGGGCCTAAACCCAGAGAGGATCTGTTAGATCCAAGGATCTCATGAATGGAGTGCTTGGAGACACCCAAGGTTCAAATATCAGAATCTCTCTGAGAAAAACTCCCACACTTTTTATTTACAAATGGAGGCAACTCAGGTGAGTAAGGGCTTCCACCTGGAGGCAGAGAAACAGGTCTGCCCCTAGAGGAGAGAGGCTCCTTACTTGGTTACTTTCTGCCACTTTCACAGCCTGGTTCACAGGAGTCACACTTGCTTCCAGACTTCCTCACTTTTGCTATTAATATACATCCATCTCCATGTTGTTCCCACCATTCTGTGGGGAGATTTTTCCAACTCTGCAGGTGCAGAAAGGTTAAATGACCTAACCAGGAGCTCAAGTCTGTCAGTAAATGCATCTGAACTCCAGACTGGTCCTCCAATACCTCCTGTGACACTTTCTGCTTCATACTGCATTTATATTTTACCAAGGGAGTCTTGTGTCCTCTGCCAGATTGAAGGCCCTGATAGAGCAAAGAGAAATCATCTCTTTGGCTCTGCCCTATTCACTAATCACAGACATGAATATAATTGTGCATGGGTGTATTTCACCGAAGTTTCTCAAAAGCTTATTTTTTCCTTCTTTTTGTTGGCTTCTGTCACTGAACTCAGTGCATATGTACAGAGCTTCTGAGTACAGTCTGAAAAAGGCAAAATAAAAATAGCCAATTGGTCCATAATTGAATGGAAAAGTGCCTGGGGGAGAGCACTAGTCCTAAAGCCATCTGGAAAGAGATGAGGTGGGGTCACCAGAAGCCTCCTTGAGAGCTGGCTCGCCATGAGACAGGCCCATGCAAGTAGCTCCTCCTGGTTGGGGGAGATGGAAGGAACTGTGGGGCAAAGATCCTGCTTTCTGCTTTTGTTCTGTCTTGGCCAGTGCCCATCTTGAGGCGCATGTTCCCTGAAAACCTGGCACTCACTGTGGAATATAAAGTGAGGCACCTACCTGCAAGGGACTACTTCAGGTTGGCCTAGTATGCAGACCCTCTGCCCCTGCTAACAGCGATTAATTGAATCATGCCTCTCCCACCATGCCTCCTCCTATAGCCCTGTACGATCTACTCTTTCAAGCTGGTATTGATGGTTGCTTTTGTTGGCAAATAGAAATAAAAATAAAAATACCAAAATAAAAATAAACACAAGGGTTTGTGTGGACACAGAGGAAAGTGGATTCTGTGTCTCTGGAGCTGGGAACAAACCTGCTCTGAGACCCAGTGGCCAAATTGGCACCTGATCCTCCCCTCAGTGCACCTCTGCAGTTATTATAAGGATGTTTGTCTGTCTCCTTCCCCCTAATAGGGCAGAAGCCACTCTCTTCCCCACACACTCTGAGTGCTTGGCACTCAATTCATAGTTGCTGACTGATACAAAGGCAGGGCTGTCCAGGAAGCAATCATTTAGGGCTAGGACTACGCCTGGTGCCACCTCTCAGCTCCAGTTTCCACATGCAGCAGCTCCAGCTGTCCAGTCACCACCTCAATTTGGGGTTAGGGGTTTGGTCTGGGAAGGGCAGGCAACAACACTACACAACCAAAGAACCTTCAAGGAGATGTCCTGTGGTGTTCAGTGCCTAGGCCAGGTGTTCCTACAGCTTAGTGCAGTGCTTCTGCATCATCATCTTCCCCTCATTTCAAAGCTGTAGAAACGGCCTGAGAGACACTCCAACTCGCCCTACCAAAGTTACACAAGCCTGCTGTTCAGATGATGATTTGCAAGGACCCAGATTTGTGCTACCTCAAGTTCTTCATCTATAATATAGAAACAATGACATCATCTCTTAGATAAGAATGTTATGTATGTGATTATTTGTTTTTTGCCTGTTCCTACTCTAATTGTAAACTCCAGTAGGCAGGGACTTCGGCATATTCACGGTATGTTGTCAGAACCAAGAACAAGTGCCTGGCACATAGTAGGTGCCATAAATGTGTTATAAATGGAAATGACATGAAATAAGTTCAGGCCAGATTCTAGCCCTTCTATCTGCGGGTACATTCTATAGCCTTAGTTCCTGACTTCCCCTCCACCCTAGGGAAGCCACTGGCCAAAGGAAGCCTTGGGTTGGGGGAAAGTACTGCTGGCCTTAGGGCAAGGTCGGCAAACACGCAGAAGTACTGAGACCAGAACAGCCTCCAAGGGTCAGGCTGCAAGGCCACGGGACTTGACAACTTCTTTCAGGATTAAGCCCCTAGCTTCCCCTGTTCTTTTTTTCTCGGCACAGCACAGCACGGTGCTGCTTTCGAGGCTCCGGCAGAGAAGACCCCAGGCCAAGAGCCGAACATTTCTAGGGAAGAGGCACGGAAGGAGGACGGAGAAGATGCCAGACCCAACCAAGCGGCGGAAGAGGAACGCTCTGCGAAACACCAAGATTGAAGGTTGGGGAGATCGCCGGTCGGAGGCTGCCGCGGACGTGAATTGGACGTAAGGGGGAGGGGCGGAGGTGGGCAGGGCCCTAGGGACGTCAGAAGGGTGTAAGGGGGCGTGGCGGGGGGGGCCGGACAGTGTCCGCGGGAGGTTCCCGCTCCACCTTAAACACCGGATCTCTTAAGTCCGGGCACTAGAGCCGCGCGCCTGGGGGGCGGGACCTCTCATGTAAATTAGGGGCGTGAGCCGTATGGGCGTGGACCTGCGGGGCGTGGGCCGGCGCTGATCTGACGTCAGGTCGGCCGCCCAGGCAGTTGGCTCGGCGGCGGCGGCGGCGCGGCGGGATCGACGGCGCGAGCTGACCGCGCGGTGGGGCGCGGGGAGCAGCGGCGGCCGAGCCGGAGCAACATGGCGCCGGCGGGCGGGGGCGGGCGCCCGGGCGGCGGGCTGGCCCGAGGGCGCTTCCACCTGGTGGTGCTGGTGCTGCCAGTGCTGCTGTGGGCGCGGGGGGCCCGGGGCCAGGGAGACCCGCAGCGGAGCGCGATCCTTGGCATGCGGCTGTCGAGCTGCAACAAATCGTGTGGGATGAACCCGGATGGCATCATCTTTGTGTCGGAGGGTAGCACAGTGAACTTGAGGCTGTACGGCCATAGGCTGGGCTCCATCTCCAGCAACCTGATCTCCTTCACCGAGGTGGACAATTCCGAGGCCCTCCACAACTCCACCCACTGCCCCGAACTTACCAAGGACCTGGTCGTCCAGCAGCTGGTCAACGTGAGCCGCGGGAACACATCCGGGATGCTGGTGGTGCTCACCAAGTTCCTCCGAAGGAGCGAGAATATGAAGCTGTACGCGCTGTGCACCAGGGCTGGCGTGGACGGGCCCTGGCAGAGGTGGACCGATAAGGACTCACTGCTCTACATGGTGGAGGAGGAGGGCAGGTTTCTGCCCCTCTGGCTGCACATACTTCTCGTTTTGGTGCTGTTAGTGCTGTCGGGCATCTTCTCTGGCCTCAACCTGGGGCTGATGGCCCTGGACCCCATGGAACTGCGCATTGTCCAGAACTGTGGTACCGAAAAGGAGAGGCGCTATGCTCGCAAGATCGAGCCCATCCGGCGCAAGGGCAACTATCTGCTGTGCTCGCTGCTCCTGGGAAACGTGCTGGTCAACACCTCCCTCACCATCCTTCTGGACAACCTCATCGGATCCGGACTCATGGCCGTGGCCTCCTCCACCATTGGCATTGTCATCTTTGGGGAGATCGTACCTCAGGCCTTGTGCTCCCGACACGGGCTGGCTGTGGGTGCCAACACAATCATTCTTACCAAATTCTTTATGCTACTCACCTTCCCCATCAGCTTTCCCATCAGCAAGCTCCTGGACTTTTTTCTGGGCCAGGAGATTCGCACAGTTTACAATCGGGAGAAGCTGATGGAGATGTTGAAGGTGACAGAGCCTTATAACGACCTCGTGAAAGAGGAACTAAATATGATCCAGGGTGCCTTGGAACTACGGACCAAAACCGTGGAGGACATCATGACTCAGCTCCACGACTGCTTCATGATCCGCAGCGATGCCATTCTGGACTTCAACACAATGTCCGAGATTATGGAGAGTGGCTATACCCGCATCCCTGTGTTTGAAGATGAGCAGTCTAATATCGTAGATATACTCTATGTCAAAGACTTGGCCTTTGTGGACCCGGATGATTGCACCCCCCTCAAGACCATCACCCGCTTCTACAACCACCCTGTGCACTTTGTCTTTCATGACACCAAGCTGGATGCCATGCTGGAGGAGTTCAAGAAAGGTAAGGCCTGAGCTGCGCTTCTGGCTAACTTTGGTCACACTCTGGCCTGTTTTACATCTGCTGATCGTAGTGTTCCTTTAATGGGACTCTGCCCTTTTGCTGATGACTTTCTAGGCTTCTGAGGTGACCTGTTTTTGCGGCAGCAAAAACAATTCTTAAGCATCTGCTGTGGGCCAGTTCCTGTACTTTGCTTCAGGTAAATCAAAGCTGAGTAAGACATTAGCATACTTGGAGAATGGAGCAAGACCTCAAGGAGGTATCAAGCAGGCCAGATGAAGGCAGATGCCTTACTGAGGCCAACACTGGGTCAAAGCGATTAGATCAGAGAGCATGCAAATCTGGTTGAGGTGGTGTAGGGAAGGGGCTGGGGAACTGGGAAAACTTTCACAGGGGAGGGAGTGTCTGAGAACAGTCATAAAAGTTGGAGAGACTTGGTACTTGAGGTAGAGAGAACCCCAGGAGCAAAAAGGATACACTTGTGGTCCAGCAGGTGGTTCTGTTCTGGGGGGATATAGTCTCTGCTGATGAGTGGTCAGTGTGGGAGAGCCTGAAGGTCAGGACGGTAAGTTTGCTAGGAGCTGGGAGCCATGGGAGGGAGGTCTGTGAGCAGGGGAGTGGCATCACTGGAACTCCTAGCCCACTGAGGCCGATTGGGAGCTCAGAACAGTGCCAAGTAATGCTTTTGACTCTTCAGCAGAAGCAAGCAGATTAAGTTTTGGTTATTGTTCTGCCTTTCCCAGGCATCAAGCATAAGCTTCCCTCCTTGGTCTGCTGGAATCTTCAGCTTGCCTTGCATTCCCTGTGTTTTTTTCTCACATGGGTTCTTGACCTGTCCTCAGGTTGTCAGAAGCACTTGGAGGGTTTACTCACCAACCTCGAAGCTCAGGGCACACACCTCTTTCCTTCTTCCAACAATCTTTCCTCCCACCTCTGCTACTCCAAGCCCTCAGAGTGGCAGTAAACAAGCCAATTATGGAATAAAACCCTCCTAGGCCACAGGGAGTGAGGAGGCAGAAAGAGAAGCTTTTTGTGAAGGAATGGAGGAGGGGAGGAGCTCATCCTAAACCTGGCACTTTGCTTGTTAAGCCTCCCAGGCCACTGAGTGCCGGGAGCAACTCCTGAACCCTAGCTGGGAGCAAGCCCCAGACCCTCATTGTCAGTTTTTTTCTGGAACAGAATGTTGGTGGGATAGGAAGGAGCTGGCCTGGCCAGGTTTGGTCTGAAAAGATGCTTGGGTCACTGCCAGGGTGGGGGATTGGTACGCAGTCTTTTCCAGTTAGACAGATTGCACCTCAACACCAGAGATAAGGAGGACTTGAGTAATGTAAGCCCCAGTGGAGACTGCACGGGGACTGGAGGGATGGAGGTGGCTGCTGGTGATGGTATTGCCTCCCTGGAGCTTTGGAGTGTAGACCCCTGAACCTGTTTCTCCCAGGTACCCGAGCCTGGAACAGAGGAGAAGTGATGCTCTGTGCTCGGCTCCCACCCTGCCGCATCTGAGGACTTCTGTGTCCTCAATCAGGAACCTGGTTAGAACTCAATAGGGCAGCTTGCTCCTGAGCACCCCTGTGGTCTTTGGGACTCTTGCTGGTTACCCACCCAACAATCATGTTTGAATCATTCAGTCCAGCTCTGGTTCCAGCCCGAATGGATGGGCTTGGCTAGGCTTCCCAGCCCCTGATCAGTAGGGCTGAGCTCTCACAGGGTGGGAGCTTCCTGAGTCTTGGGAAGCAGGGCCATCATTGGACTCTTAAAATAAAAAAAAAGAAAAAGAAAAAGAAAGCCACTTCATGAAGCTAGGAAAACAGAGCTAGCATCTCTCAGGCCCGAGCTGTACTGAGTGGAACTCTCCTTATTGCCAGCTTTCCTCCTTAACAAAAGATGTCCTGATAATTCCATGGAAACTCAGGTGCAGTCTGCCCGGTGCAGCATGAAGCCCTGAAGATGTGGGTGTGACAGGATGGATGGTCTCCCAAGTGAGCACACCCTAGACTTCATGCTGTCACCTCCCTGTTTCTTGTCTTAACTCACTGCCATGCTGTTCTTCATGCCACTGGCCCCTCCAGTATGGTCTCTTCCACATTTGGCATCTACCTTTTTAGTCTGAGGGAATCTAGAACATGGCAAGCCTAGTGTACACCTGTGACCTAAGAGATTTTCTTTACAAATCTGGGGTTTGGGAGGCTTCTTTTTCAGCTGAGGAAAACAAGTGAGCCAGCATTGTTAGAACCATTAAAATCAGAGCTGGTGTGCTTGTACTTCAGTGGACTCTTCAGCACCTCCAGGTTGGGTGAGGGCTCTGAGCTGTACCTGATCTTGCAAAGTCATTTGGATTCTTCCTTGCTCCGCAACATTATAAGGTCCTCGAGGTAGAGATCCCATCCTTTAGTGTTTTCATCATTCAGTGTCTTAAGAGAGGAATAGTAAATGCTTGTTACACAATGAATGAATGAATGAACGAACGAACGAATGAACGAATGAAATAATGAACAAATAACAAATAATTGGATGACTGTCTGGCAAGCCCTACTGGCATTCTTGCTGTTTCTGGAATACACCATGATGCCCCAGCTTGGGGCATTTGCCATGGCTGTTTCCTCAGTTGGAATGTTCTTCCCCAGCCGCCTCACTGTCTCCCCTCCCTAATGTCTGCTTTAACTTCACCTTCTTGGTGAGGTCTTCCTGTTACCCTGTTCAAAAGTGTAACCCCCATCCCACCCTGACCTCCCCGATCTCCCCGCCCTGTGCTGATTTTTCTTTTTCTTATGGCACATATGACTTTCTAACAGCCGTGTAATATATGAATTCACTGTGTTGTTTATTGTCATCTCCTCCCATTATAATGTAAGTTCCAAAGGGCAGGGTGCTCTGTTTTGCTACTGATGTTCCCTAGCTCCTGGAATGGTTCTTGGCACAGAGCAGATCTCAATAAAAAGTCACTGAATGAATGACCTGTCAGGTTTGAGAGAGAGTTATCCCCACTTCAGTAGTGTTAGGATTTTGAGGGGCTGATAAGGGATAAAGAAAAATGGGAGCTTGACTTTTCCGGCTGTACCAAGAAAGACAAGAGGAACTCCTGCAATGACATGTGTATTCGTGGTTTGGGTCAGGGACTGAGGAGTACAGTTTAAGGTCTTGAGTGTGACTCATGGTTCCCTTTCCCCATGCCTCAGTTTCTCTGTAAGTGATCTTTGACGATCAGAAGTTTATATAGCTTCATGCATTAATATTAATAAATGATGAGTATGCTCCTGCATAATGAGAGACAGGCATAGGGGCTGGGCTTCCCCTAGACTAAGGCAAGGAGCTCCAGCTGCTTCTGCTTTTCAATTCAAGGCAATTATCATTAGATATGTATTGGATCCATACTGTGTGCCAGACACAATGCCAGGTGCTGCAGGACCTCAGGACTAAGACCCTCTAGTTGGTGAGAGCTGTGAGGGCACTGAGAAGGGCTGGTTTGCACTTTGCACTTTGGCCTTTCCACTTAAACCTCACTTAGAACTGTTTGCAGTAAGGTGTTGTGGTTGAATTTGTTTATAGCTGGGAATCTTAGAACAAAACCTCCCTGGGCTATTCCTGGCCCAGCCGCATTTTTCCTGCCCGCAGATGTTCTCTCAGACCCTGATGGAAAGCATGAATGAACTCTCCACAAGGAGGTCCATAGGTCAGGAGATCAAGTTCAACACTGAAGCCTACCTTTCAGCTTTCCACTGTGCCCCTCCTTCTGTGACATTCCTGCCCCTCCCAGGCACTTAGCTCTTCTTTAGTCATCCTATCTTTCCCCACCTACTTTATAATCTTCTAGCCCCTGTAAAGAGCTGGGTTTAAACTTCACCCAGCTCAGTCACTGACCCATGAAGTGACCTTGGATCTATTAGGCTCCTCATAGAAAGTTTGCAGGTTATATAATGGAGGGAAAAAAAAGTGAGAAATAATTTCATCAGAACTCCTCCTGTATTTGTATGTGTGCTACATCACACTTCCCCCACTTACTTTTATTCTTGAAACTACTTTATAAAGTCAAGAAAGAGCACTGCATGATTTTGCATTTGTTAGGAACCAGAGAGGACTCACACAGCCTTGTTCATAGAACTGTCGGAGAAACGGACATGTAGATGGAGTTTAGCTGTATACTGCTCAGGTAGGTACAGTAGGGCCAAGGAAGACCAGGGTTTCGAGGTGCTTCTGAAGTCCAAACAATAGGACTCTTGATCCTCATGGAGAAACCAGGGCTGGCAAGTGGTTGTAAACAGCTGAGGTTTCTGGTTTGGGTTCCGGTTGACAGTGTTGTCATGTAGTTGTCATATACTGTAGTATAAGTGGGGAGAGGAGGGAGCAGAGCCAGTTTTGTAAGGGTTGGGGGAAGGGTGTAGTGGTAAATAATAATGGTGTGACCCTTTATTGGACATCTTGTGCCCAGCCTTGTACATATAAGAGCGTCTCATACTTGACTATGGACCTGAACTGCCTGGACAGTTTTGTTAAAATGCAGATTTGAGCTCAGTGGGTCTGGGTGTGGCCTGAGAGGCTGCATCTCTGACGGGTTCTCAGATGATGCCTACATTGCTGGCCATGTGCCCCACTGAACAGTATGAAGGTGTAGCCCATCTTGGCAGGTGAGCAGGTGAAAGTGCCCTTCTGGGGCTTGGGAGTGAGACCAGGACCAGTTGAAGAGGTCTGGAATCAGCTGAGAGTAGGCCAAACATGTGGAGAAGGCAGAAGCCTGGCCAAAGTGACTCCTGGGAGAGATGGGAAGGAGCCAAGCAGGCATAGTTTGGGGAGTCTCCTTTAGAGGTCTGCTAGGGTGAGGGCTGAACCTAGACGGTGGCATGGACAGCTGTTATGAGGCACTGGGAGAGGGCAGCCTCAAGGGCCGAATCGAAGGCAGCCGTGCACCTGGTCTCAGGCAACTCCACCTGGAAACAGTCTGAATTGGGCTGGTGATTTGATCTCGAGAAGCTGCCTGGAGGCAGGTGTATCTGAGAGAGTGACAGGAG